TCTTTTGCTAAACAGTTACTTAACTTCCCCTGTGTTGGTGTCTTGAGGAATATGCTGGTGCTTGGTTGAACAGGAGATGGGTTTCTGTCTAGAGGGATGGGGCATCTTTCTTTCCTAATTTTAAGTTTAAGGTCTTGTACCCGTTACCTCATCTTCCCAATAAGCTTTGAGGTTTATTGATCTTTATCCAGGAAAGGTAATCTAACTGTGTTTTTATAACAGAAAAGTACATTGACAGAAAAAGGATACACCATTTTTAATGAATGTCAGTCAGTCAAATCTCCTCTTGGTGAGCCTTCTCAATCCTAGGATGTTAAAATTAATGTCAGTTAAATATTAAATTCACATTTTAATTACTAGACTATCTGGCTTGGGTCACATTTATGACAGAAAAAAATAGACCTTTAAGTTTGTCTAGATGTCCTTTATTAAGTGCCACCTGGTCTTTTGGAATATTTCGGGCTTGGTAGACAGTTTTGGAAATAGAAGTTAATAATTGTTGGTGCAGCATTCAGAAAGTTCCTATGTCTCCTTGATCCTGTTTCCCAGTCACTGGATGGGAAAACCACCTCGCATTTTTAAGACTTGTCTGTTGATATATGAAGCTTTTGTGGTGACCTACTTGGTTGTATAATGTGCAGGTAATTGCAAGCCTGAGTGAATCACAGGCATATCTCACTGTGTGGTTCAAAGAAGCTAGACTAGGCAACATTTGCTTCATTTTCACATGCCAGGAAAAGAGTGGGGGAGCGGTAAAGCTGTATACAGAGTTACATCAAAACTGCATATGCCTTACAGTGAAGCCATCTTCCAGCCAACGACTTCCCAGGGCCAGTTGAAAAGGAGATGCACTAAAGACTTAAGGGGAATTTCTATCTAAAACTTTTCCAAATGGGCTATAGGTTTTCTTCTCTGGGATCAGAGCACTTTCAAAACAATTATAAGTAACTAATAGAAGCAGTAGAAGAGGAGGAACAGGATGGGAGCCTACTACAGATGCCCTCTGAAAGACTCTACCCAGCAGGGAATAAAAGCACATGGAGAGACTCACAGCCAAACTTTAGACAGAGGGCAGAGAGTGTTATGGAAGAAGGGGAAGATAGAAATACCTAGAGGGGACAGGACCTCCACAGAGAGACTAACAAAGCCAACAATTCTGGTCCCAGAAGAGTCTTCAGAGACTGATGGCTCAACCAAGGACCATGTATAGAGAGGACCTGGACCCCCTGTTAGATGTAGCCCATAGGCAGATAGCCTCCAGGTGGGTTCCCTAGTAAAGGGAGTGGGGGCAGTCTCTAAGATGAACATGGTTGCCTGTTCTTTGATCATTTTCCCCTGGCACAGTGATCTAGCCAGCCCACAGAGGAAGAGATCCAGGCAGAACTAATAAGACATGATAGGCTAGGATCAGATATAGGAGTGGACTAGGGGAGGAAGAGAGAGGGAGAGTGGAACTGAGAAGAGAGGAGGGAGCAGACTACAACTGGGATACAAAGTGAATTAATAATAATAATAATAAAATTCCCATGCACAAGAAGCATTTTTTTCTGAGAAAGACATAGGATACTGCATCATCCAATTTGCTAAAGTTCAAGGCAGCCACCAAAGGACTAATGCAAAGTAATGACAGAAGGGCCCATTTATATTAAAGAAAATATTGAATTGCAGAATTCTTTCTAACACCCTGGCCTGGCTAGGAGAGAGGGTCCTCTTTTGGCCTAAGAAACTTCAGGGTGTCCTTTTCGTAGCCTCCTAAATAAGCACACCTTGTGTGCTGCAGACTGGCTACCCAGATCTCACCTGTATGTGGCACAGTCTTTGAACTGACCTCAAAAATGGGGCTTTCAAATTAGGGCAGTCCAAGTTTATAATATTGATATATATTATCAAGAGACAATGGATTGTGTTAAAATTTAGATTTAAAAAAAATCCACAATAAGAATGCCGAGATTGTGGGCACGCACGGTGGCACAGGCCTGTAATACCAGCACTCTGGGAGGCAGAGGCAGGAGGATCTCTGTGAGTTCAAGGCCAACTTGGTCTACAAAAGTGAGTCCAGGACAGCCAAGGCTACACAGAGAAGCCCTGTATTGAAAAAAAAAAAAAATGCCGAGATTGAAGTCTTATTACTCATCTTTAAAATCTAATACAATAAACTTCTAAGGGGTTCGATAGCCCCGAAAATAAATCTCTGACACCAAAGTCAGCCATACACATGGCATACAGCTGTACCCAATTTCTTTGTCATTTGTTTTCTTTCAGTGTCATTAAAGCCCCTTTACCACTGAACTTAATCAGTAGCATGCTGTCAGGATTGCGCGCCTGAGTAAGGTGAGCACGGGAAATCACCACGGGGTAGGAGATAGTCTTGATTACATGTCACACTTCTCAACAGACTACATAAAAGAAAGTGGCCAGGTCAGTCCAAACACTCACCTGCCATTTGTGTGTCACCTACATTTAATATGCTGTAACCTGATGCATAGTCAAGTCTGCAAATCACGCTTGAAAGAAAAAGCTTCTGTTGACATTAAACAGTAGGACACTTTGTAAAGACTCCAGACTCTATACTCTTTGTTCTTTGCGGAATCTGTGTGCTAGGCCTGTTCCTTCAGCTTACTTACTTTATGGTCCTTCTAGCATGTAAGAGAAAAAAGAAGTCACTGGGGTAAAAAAAAAAAAAAAAAAGTTATTTCATTCAGACCAAAATGTAGTTTGGGATTTTATTTTTCTTTCTCAAATAATTTCATTACATACATCTTTAAAATATCAAACACTTGACTGAGGATATTTTCTTTTCTGAAGCCTACTCTTCATTCTTCCTCAGTTGCATTCTGTTCTTTCATGTTCGGTGGTATCACTGGGATATCAATCTGGCTCATAGTTATTTGCTTCCTATTTAGCCACAAGGTATAAATTTGCTAACTGTAAAGGCGTGTTCTGACAGCGAGTCTCGATGTATGTCCAAAGGCTGAGCTCACTGCCCTGGGAAATTTCCCCAGAGGGTTACTCTGTAGAATGTGGAGCCATTTGTTGAGCTGTCTGATGTGGAGGAACAAAGAACCTGCCTTAGAGAAATGGACTCACGGGGTGCCTTTCAGAGCAGAGAGAGAAATCAAAGGACAACTTCCAGTCCACTTCCATTTCCAATCTTGTTCTTGGGAACTAGGGCATCAAAGATATTTTCCTGTAGTATTTTTCAAGAAGCCACAGAAAGATAATCCCAAAAAAAGAAATTATAGCAAATTTAATGATATCTGCAGGTTTTGTTCTGGGAAATTACACCAACCCAGAACTTGTCTGTCTGTCTGTCTCTCTGTCTTTTTCTCTGTCTATCTGTATCTGACACACACAAGTTCTACATGGACCTATAACGATGTTTACAAACAGAAGGAAACATACATTGCTTTGATTCCAGGGTCTAAAAAAACCATCTCAACAAAATTAAAGATTATAAAATATTTGGTTGAATGTCTATGAAGTATTTAATATCAACCTTATTAAATAATAAATTTGTATGTCTTAAAAATATATCACACATAGAAATGGAAAGATGAATCAGAAAGATCCATCCTAGAAAGATGGCTCTACTGTTAAGAGCTGTTCTTCCAAAAGATGCCAGTTCAGTCCCAATCACCCACATTGTGACTTGCAATTGTCTATAACTCCAGTCCCAGGGGACCCCACACTCAAATCTTAGGACACCAAGCGTGCACATGGCACACAGACATACATGCCTATAAAACACCCATACATATAAAATAAATATTTTTAAAGATTAAAAGCTATCTTGTTATATCACACATGAGAACAAACTATGGATTCAATTTTTTTTGCTTTCCAAGGTGTTGAGCATGCCAGTCATAAGTGGCCCATAGCCAGCTATTTTAATTTTAAAAGGATCCTCTCCATCTTTCCCATATGGGTACACACTGCATATGAGAAATGGAAGCATATCATTCCTTACACGATGTGTGTGGTATGACCTAAAACTGGATAGCATGCAGCTAGTGGAGATATTTAAACAGCACCGCGCCCCCTCCTCTTCACGTGTGTGATTATTCCCACAGACTCATGTCTGCCTAGGCTCCCTGCGGACGACAGTAGAACAAGGAGGGATAGTCAGGTTCTGGTTTGTTCTTACAGTCACCACCCCCAGTTGGGGTAAAATGAGAGGGGAAGGGATCTAAGCATGTGTAACGCACAAAGCACTAGAAAAGCCCCAGAAGGGCCCCCACTCTATGTCAGAAGGAAATCCCCTTTGAGATTGGGTAGCAAAGCCATCCAGTTGGGTCGCACCAGTGTCCTGTTGTGTGATGACCATCATGTACCCTCTGTTCTATTCAACATGTCCTGCGTGGATAGAGATTTCTCCTTTTAGAATAGTACCTGTAAAATGGTGGATTGTCTGGGTTCCATGTGTGATAATCAGTGGCCTGACTTCTTCAGGTATTATTTCACTAACCATATGTGGGGCAGTGGATATAAACTCCCTTCAAAACATGGAAAGTGACATTTCCTTGTAATCCTATCACCCTACAATAACCAGTCATGACTCTAAGTCTTGCAGAATCTTTTCCTTTACATATGCTAAGATATTACTGACTGCTCTTAGATGAAGTGAGGTAATAAATATGGTTTTAAAACATATTTTATACTTAATATATTTTTCATTTCAGTATATGTGAATTTATCTCATCTTCTTTAATGACTGTGTGATATGCCACTGCATGACTGGGCCATGGTTTATTTCACTGCTCTTTATTACTGGACATCAGAGTTGGACATTCAAGTTTTACTTTCCGAGGGAACGGGTCACATACCTAGATAAACCATTAATATTGTCTAGGAATTTACACTTTGTGCACCTACTTTGACTCAGCTCCTATGAGGGCAGAAATAGCCGTCCCTGCATTGGTGAGTGTTATTAAATGTAAATCCTGTATGGAATTTGTTATTTATTTCTTTGTCTTTTGTTTTTGCCTTTTTCTCTTATGCAGTCATCTACAGCAGGAGACAAGGAAGAACCATCTTTACCGGTAGGGAGCAGTAGCCCTGTCTATTCCTGTGCCTGTGGACAGTGTGTGGCAGGGGTGGGAAGGGAGCTCTATGCTTGAAAATCTTCCTCTCCCTTGGAATACTTGTGGACTGACACACTGGTGGAGAGTTGTGTTTCTCTCCTACAATTAGTAACAACTTAACTCTGGCACTCACTCAAATTATTTCTCACCTTATGGTTCAAAATCTTGAATTATTTCTTCCATTGGACATAAACTTTTCTAGGTGTTGAAGGGATAAGAAATGTCTAAATTCCATTCCAAGGGATGTTGGCTGATATGTGGGGACGGGTGTGGAATCTAATGCTTGAGAACTGTTTTCTTTGTGTGTCTGCATGCTCCTCCTCTGAAATGCTCTGAGATGTATATATTCAGTGTATCCAACACTGCCTGAAAGAATGCTTTGGTGTCTTCCATAGACATAATTCAGGAATGAAGAAGATACCCACGACAGACTTCTTGTGGTTTCCCAGAATAACAACCATAGTGGCAGTGGTTATTATGACAAATTATTAACAAGGACCACATTTCATTTTCAGTTGCTTTCCAATTAACACATGACATTTCATATCATGCTGCCTGGCAAGGAAATGACCTTCTAAGTTTTTTGTGCTCAACTGTTACTACACCTCCACTGGCCCTAAGTCTGCGACCTTTGTCCCTAGAATGTTTTAAGCCTTGCTGATCTGAATCCCCTATAACTAAATGCCACAGTGCATCTTAAAATGTTACAGGCTTTTAAGTCATGAAAATATTTGGGACCCTGTATACTTCTTCTCACTAGCACTCAGAGCAGAGACATGACATTCACTGAGTGCCCAGAGGATATACTAGACTCAAGACCAAGGTACAGCTCAAACTCCAGGCTACTTTTGAAGAACTCAGAATGTTGTCCATCATTGAGATACCAGTATTCTCCTTCCTTCATCTCCAAATTCTGCTGGCTGAGGAATACAGCTTGAATAGAACATCAGTTATAATAAAATCACTACTGATTTCACCTTGTATTACATTCTGAGATTTTACCTATACTTCAAGCTTACAAAGGGTTTTAGGTTTACCACCAAAGTTTTGAACCATAACCCTTAATAAATATTGTCTGGAGTAAGAGACATTCCACAACTTGGAAATAATGCCACAGTGGTTAAAATGACCCTGATACTTCTGTATTTCACTGGATGATGTCTGACCTAAGTCTGAGAAGTCTAAATATGAGTGGTTCTAGAAGGCATCAGCCTGTCCAAATATGTTCAGTTATGGAGTCTCTGATTGGAAATCTGTGATGGAGAAGTTAGGAAAGCTTGGTGAAAATGTTTTCATTTTAAAATAAAATTAAATAAAATCAGAGGATAGAGTTTTAATTTTATCAGACCACATAAAATTTCCTTGTCCAGTTTTTGGACCAAAATTTCAATTAAAAAAAAAAAGTAGTCTAAGCTAGGCTTGGTGGTGCATGCCCATAGCCACAGCATTCAGGAGTTGGAAGCAGGCAGAGCCTGGACTACAAAGTGAATCCCAGGACCTCTAGGGCTACACAGAGAAGCCCTGCCTCAAAAAAAAAAAAAAGAAATTAATATACTTATAGCATCCCTCCACAAGTCTGTCAATAAGGCTTGGCTGTCTCTGGGCACAGCAGTACAGAATCAACCACAAAGAAGGAAGTCATTGTTAGAATTAAAAAGCTGTCTAAATGAAGAGGGGTTGGATGGCTTCAGTTTGATTTAACACAGTTTGCTTTTGGAGAAATAAATACAAGCTTGTTGGTAACCCCATCTCTTGAAGTTAACTCGGTGTTTCAGGTCCAGTTACTGGGGCAAAAATCACAGCTCATAGGACTCTGTGCCAAAGAGGCGTCCTGGAAGCCAGGAAGGCTCTTGATAGAGTCACAGTAGGAAACTCTTTCATTCTCTCACTTAACATAGACCACAAAGCTTTCTGGATCAGAGGATAGAGATTGGAACCCCAGAAAACGTGTAAGATGATGTGAGTGTAGACAAGTCTGTTGTCACAGATACATATAAACAAAGAACTTGTTGATAAGACACACAATCCAAAAATTTTAAAGACTGACTGTTAGGTTATAGAGTCTTTAAGAAAAGCAAGCCTGGAATTCATACCGCCATCTTTTCCAGGTGACCCAGAAACTCATTTTACTTCTCAGAGATTTCATGGTCTCCCTAAAGTTAGTGCTGACAATATGGATCTCATGAGGCTTATCCTGAGAATGAAATGAATGAGCAGTGTGAAGCATGGCACACATTGCCTGCCTGGTACTAATCTCTTTTGTTAAAAGGGGGTGGGGGAGGGTGGGCAAAACTGATTCATTTCAGAGAAAAGCCATACTTTGGGACACTTGAAATGTACTTTGAAATTCTTTGGTTCAACTGTTTATGACCATGTAACATAAATGAGTGACCAGAGACTGGGCGAGGCTCTTCTCTGTGATGCGCTCGACGTTCGTTTCCAAGAACTAACAGCATCTTTGGTTTCTCTATTCAGGCTAAGCCTCGCCTCCAGCGAGGTGGGAGCTCCGCCTCCCTCCACAACAGTCTCATGAGGAATAGCATCTTCCAGCTCATGATACACACCCTTGACCCACTTGCGGAAGGTAACAGTCAGGCTTTGCCTTGGGAGCATTGTGTTGGGGATGTGAAAGACTTGGCTTCAAGAATGCATATGCATGCTGAGGTCACACACACCTGTCAGACTCCTCTTGGTTAACATCGCTGGGTGAAGCCTGACTCTTCTGTGTGCTTTATTCAGCGCCACTCAGTTCCTGGTGGGGTGGTTTTATGACAGGAGCAGAATATGAGTTCCATGGGCTGATTCTGTCTTTTGATGCCTCTGGCGTGAACACAGTTTGTTATGAGGCAGGGGGCAGAAAGGTCTCCCTCCGTCTAGTATTTTCCTTTATCATTTTCAATGCAAAGTTGTGTGTGAAGATAAATTGTGTACCTTGAAAAAAAAATAGAAAAATGAACTGTATTCCAGGGGAGGGCTGTGAATGATTTGGGGAATAGTGATCTCTGAAGATCAGTGAAATGGTACTATTGTTTTGGCATTGAAAAAAACCAACATAACTCCTTGGGACCAGTCCCCAGAGACCCAAAAGACCTGGTTCACATCTCGGGGTGATTGTAAGAACCATTACAAAGAATCCAATATTATGTCTTTCCAGTTTTACAAAGCCAAATATACTTTGTTTCTTCAATTGTACACATATCCTAAAAGTATTATTTGTTAGTAGATAGACATATACCTGGCATGACTAAACAAGTAACCAGAGCTCTGCCACAAGCAAGGAGTTCAGATACAGCCGAGACTATCCTTCCACCCCCGAATTTTACCATCTGGCCTACAGAGGCTAACAGGGATTGAGGGAAGAGTAGAGCAGGATGTAGGCACATGTCACTAAACAGACCCCAGAGATCTGATTGCCAGTCATAGTACATATGTCAGCGGTCTTACCAAAAACCAACCTCTTCTGAGGTCTTTCCAAGCTAGAGACACTCAAGATGACATGGTATAAAGGACAGCGAGGGACCAAAAGACCAGCTCCTCAAGCCCTGTCTGCCCCGTTGGACACAAGCCTGTCATTCATATTAGTAAGTGGAACCACATCTCACATAAGAACACAGAGCATTTCCGTTACAAAGCACCCATTCTACCACTGGGCCACTCAGTTATTGTGATGCTCCCCAAGAAGCTAGGCTTCATACTCCTGGTTCTAGCCACACAAGCTCTCCCCCGTGGGAACAGCTGAGATACCATTACTCTGAACACCTAGTGGTCCGGTTAATAAGGGAATTAGACACAGCCACCTGCCTTTTTTCTCTCATCCCCAGCAAAAGAAATAAGGGAATTCGTTTCACTTATCCCTGCCACTATGCAGTCGTGTGACTTTGGGCAAGTTAGGGTCTCTCTCTAGAATGTGGCTTCTTCATCTGTTGTAGCACTTCTCTTTATTGAACATTTCAACAGGGCATTCTCACCCCTGTGAATTTATGTTCCACCAGAACACTGCATAACTAATACCATTTTCCTTCCATGGGATATTGTACCACCAACAGAGATCCCAACTGTGCCTAATGCTGATCCTTTGCCGCCATGTTCTTTGAACCATCTTTCTGCTTTCTCTGCGGCTTCAGAGCTTCTCCTTTAGCACAGCCTCCACCTGTTTCCCACGCAGCAGCCCAGATCATCTTTAAAAGTCAACAAGGTTACATAAGCCCCTCCTTAACAACCTTTAGTGCCTGCCAGGGTTCTTAGAAAAACTACGAAACCCTCACCACAGTCCCCAGGATATGCTTCCCATTCCAAACTCAGTGGGACTTGTTTTATGTAAGGCATGTGGGGCCCCCATCTTCAGATAGCTGTTCTCACCATTATCACCATCTTTACTGTTCCTGTCACCAGAACTTTCTCCTTGCCCTCCCCTCCTCTCCTACCTTCCCTCACTCACCTCCCTTCCACTCGTCAGCCCTCAGACCATCCAGCACAGATCAGGACCTCTCCCCCTCACCCGGGCATGAGGGGAAACCCTTTCTTGCCTCTTTACAGCACCGATTGCAGTCCCTCTGGTTGTTTCCTAACGCACAGGTTCTTAAGAACCATGGGTGCCGTGTCGTTCAGCAGTTGTTCCTAAACCTAGCAGAGCACCCAGCGCACTGCTACTAAGGTTCAAGCAGGCCAATCAACTCGGCCAAAATCATTTACAGTCCAAAAGCCCCCAAAAGCCGTTCAGGCTTGAAGCTGTCAATAAATTGTTCACTGGTTATTTTGAGACACCATCTCCTCTACTCCTATTGCCCTGAAGAAGCAACTGGGAAAAGGAAAGAAAACAGTCATTTCTGCCTTGGATCTGTCATGGCCATCTGCTGAGGAGTTTGATTTTGACAAGGCAATATTATGTAGTAACGAAGAAAGGCTCCAGGCACGGATGTTCTGGATCTCACCCCTACAAATACTAGCTATGTGACCTTGAACAGCTTCCTTCCTTCTCTCTGCCTCAGTTTCTTCATCTATAAAATCAGAATGATAATGATGCCTGCACTGTAAAGCTGCTGTAAGAATAAAGGCATGAGTACACAGAGAATGCAATACACTGCCAGCATGCTAAATAGGTTTGGGGCTCTTTGCCTACATTATTGTGATGAGCTCATACAGTGTTTGGGGGTTTCAAACTTTTAAGTGTTCAAAAGGTTCTTGTGGAGGAAAGCCTTTCTCCTCTTATCAACTGTCCACTCCACTTTTCTCCAACTCCCTAATCCTCCTTCAAGGAAACCATTGTTTTCAGGTACTTGGGGCTTCTTTTAGAGAAGTTCTATCGTGAGTAAGTGAGCATGTGTGGTGTGTGTGTGTGTGTGTGTGTGTGTGTGTGTGTGTGTGTGTGTGTG